TGAATGTTCCGTCTCGGATGCTGGGGAATGAGGATCGGCGCATATAACAAGCAGACCTGGGCATCGTTCAAGAAGAACCATTTTGAAAAGTGGTTCATTCAAGTTGAAAAACAAATGACTTTTTTCTTATCGTACGAAGCAATTTGATAAATAACGTGTCTTAGGTTTTATCCATCCAGTTAAAACTTGCAGCATCATAGCATTGAATTTCGTGTTAAAAAAGAAGTATTCCATTAGTATTGTAATAATACATTGCGTACTATCTGACCTTTAAACAGTTCACTTATACAACAGAAAAATGTTGAAATAATTTATTTCATTTTTTAATATAGGATTTGGTCAATTTTTCGTCACTCGATACCCTTTCCCTTTATTTTATATGTTCACAGTGAATTATGCCCAGGTCTGATGACAAGAGTACTATCGTCCACAAAGTATTTCCTGTTTTTTAACCCCTATCGCGCTACCGTTAATTTTTTTTTACTAAACATGTACGCGTATATATATATATTTCACTTCTTTGTGTTTCTTTGCTTCTCGTAAATAAGCATCTGTTCTCCCTCTTACTTCTGATTTGATCGTAAACGCTGCTTATACGTACGCCACGGAATCGATGACGATTATTTCTCGTCGAGAATGGAAAAGAAATGGTACCACTTGTGCGGCGTACCGTTAAATGCTCATAAACGTACGACCGTATACGTGTATTATAAAGGATACTCTCTCGGGGCGATAAAAATATAAACGACGCGACGGTTGTTTACGTCCGATATACCCGGATGTCGCGAAGCATGATCGCTGGAGAAGCTTGCGTGTGCGCATACGAAAACGTAACAAAGTAGGAATCAAGTAGAAAAAGATTACAGTCGATGTCTCGCGACAAGAAAAAAGGAAAATTCAAAATAAAAAAAAATAGTGGCGAAAAAAGGATAGAAAAAGCTTGAAAAAAAAGTGCGTTTGACGGTAACGAAAAATATATATACATATATACATGTAACAATTTGCTTACTCCACTTGCTGGACAAATTATGTGAAATTATGTGAATACTGGCGTTACGATAAACGTTACACGTTCTTTAAAAAAAAAAAAAAGAAAACAAAAACATTTCCGTTTTTGTCAGTTCGATGACCATTCCTCCGATAACAATAACAATAACCGACACACGTTCCTACAACAATTCTAATCTTTCCATCGAGCACAATCTTCTTCACCCGAAAGGAAAACTAATAAACTGACGAGGTTCGATCGTCAAATATGGCATTCGAATATACATGATATTTTCCGCGGAATAATTTCTTCCGTGCACGAACTAGACGGATCCTACGATCACGAAATAGGCGAATCGATTGCTTACTTTCATTTGTCGCAAAGCCGAAAGAAACCGTTTGGATGTTCAACTTTAACCTCACTCTCGTCTCGTATCGATGTGTTCAGGACGGCAATCGTTACGCTTCCTTCTCGTCTCTTCTCGAACGAGGGCACATCGCACACCACTTCCGCGATTCGGCCGTCGATTCTCTGACAAAAACGGATATACCACACCGAAGGAGAACATTGCGTAACAGTGCACCGAAACTTCCTTGCACACGCACCGGGATGTCAGACTAAACGAAACCTCACTACGGACGATAAAAGAATGCTTGTTCTTTCTGTTTCTTCGTATTACCGTTTTTTTTTTGTTTAGTTTGTTTTTTTTTCCTTTAAACATACGGGATAATTGTTACATACGCGATAATCCTAGACGTAACAATATAGGTACCACGGTGCAGCGATATAATTTCCTCTCGAAATATAACGCACGGAACCGTCTTTTTGTTTTAAGCGTAGGCCGGACTAACTCAGCTCCTTTTGAACGTAAGCATAACCTTTTCGCGACTCGACGCTACCGAGCCACAGAACCCGTTTCCTCGATATCCTCGCACTGACTAGATTCATAATAAGTGTACAAAAGCGGATATGAACCGACCAAGTATCGATCCTGATCGATTCGATAATTTCCGACAATTACGTCTACTATCGAGTTCCCTTTGAAATTCGATAATATTCGTTTTTCTGTCGAGAACTCGTCAACGACGACCAGGAGATACAATAGATCGGATTCAGTACACGGAGAATATCGACTCGACCGTCGATATATACAATGTGTGTGTATGTATATATATATACATTACTAAGATATTATGGTCGCTGGTCAGAAATTATTGCTATACAAGCAAAAGCTGTAAAAAGGTACGATCAGCTACATTTACATGTGGATAGAATCATTACTCTTCAAAGATCACGAATATACGACCCTGTTTTCTCGCGAAAACAGCATCGCGTACACGTGTTCTACCGATAATTACATTCTCCTTGTACTGATGGTATTTCATCCAGCGTATCGTTAACTTCTAAAGGTCGTACGACGAATACACGAGACGCGTCGTAGCATGGAACAACATTTTGCTCTCGATTGCGTTGCTGCTGCTGCCCAAAAAGCCACGTGACCCCCCCCCCCCGAATCCTGCACACACGCTCAAATCACGTAGAGGGCAGCACAGCGGTGCTCTACCAATAATTCGTTCTTTTTTTTTCTTCCTTGAACGGACCAAACATCTACGGAGGACATAAAAATGTACGACACGACGACGACGATAAAGGATCACGACACCGATTTACGCGTTCCGCTGCGACGATCGGTCCACTCGACGACAATCTGGGGCTGATCGTTTGTTGTCCAGTGGCCCGTCGTACGTCAGACACGACAAAATATTTTTTTCTTTTTTTTTCTTCTAGTTGCTACCTATACGATTTCGCCGCACTTCTCTCCTTTCACGATTTACACGATCACTAAAACGTATTATGTCTAGTCGTTACGCCTATTTATTACTATTAATCAGCTAAATTCATCTCTTTAGACCTAATAACGACAAATTGAAGTTCACACCAAGGATTTCCATCGTACCGAAACCCGCGAACGTACCGTGATTCATTCACAATACAGCGACGGAGACGGTTTCAGTGGCGCGTCCACCCTCTATGGAAAATTCGAATCGAAATCCTTGACGCGAACTCGAACGGCACGGAACGACGACTAATGTGCCTAACTTAAAGAGTATTTTGTTTCACGTATTCACCGGTTTCGCACCTTAAAAGTTGATAAGTTTCCGTCGTGTTTGGGAAATTTATCATCCCGTCAGCCAGACGAGCCAACATTATGCAACCGACCTAAGGATAACCCACCCACATTCATTGGATTCACGTTTTCACGCGGGTTCTCGGTGGCATTACGCGTTGCGGATAAGGCTCGATTATTTACCGTTTAATACTATATAGAGTTTTCAGCTTTTCTAATTTAAGTACACCGGTTTGATGCTTCAAGCCTCAGAGACACCTAACTAGAGACAACATGTACGAAGATTTTTGGAAGGGTGCATCAGTATCGCTAAGTGGACATTTTCTAACCTTAATTCATAAAATTCCATTACCAAAGACTCGAGGATAAACTGAAAATTTCACGTGATTAGATGTTCGATCGTCTCGAGTGGGATCCGTAACCGCGAGTCTCATTTGTCCACGCAACATTTTTAGGCGTATCGTTCAGTTAAGTTTCTACGCGTGTCCCTTATACACGTACGTATATATCTCTTATATAATTTTGACAGTGACCACCAGTGGACACCGTCGCGTCTATGATCGCTTAAAATTCTATGTTTTTCAAGTATGAAACCCCATGATCGCTTGATCAGATCGTATCCTGCTCGATCTTCACCACGAGATCATGGTCTTGCGTTTCTGTATCTTTTTTCTTTTGTTAAATTAATTTAAATCCTATCGGAGAAGCGCTGCGAGATGCTCCTCTGGGTAAAGCTTGACGAAGTTTCGACCGTTCGAAGATACTAGATTTTTTTTCCCGAACCGGAACGTAACTTTTCATTTTTTCTCTCTCTTTCGGTAGTATTCTCTATACTATACGCACAGGTTTTACCCAGACTCGACATTTATAATTGCGTCGGCTGTTCACTTAAAATTTAAGCCAAGCTTACGTTCAGTCTTGCTCACTAGTGACTCGACACTACGCTGAAGACCTAAAACTCGACTTATTTTTCAAGCAATAACTCTTGATTATCTGCTTATATTGTGCCTCTGTCGCGATAAAAATAATCTGTAACAGAACTATCACGTAAGTACGTAAGCGCTAACGAAAGAAATGGAAAATGCATAAGTGCCAAGTCTTTGTACAAGAATTAACCGTGAGTCTGTACATCAGAAAAGATTTCCTCCAGATTCATTTCAGTGGAATCGAATCTTCAATTAAAATAAAAATAAAACAAGTGAAGAGAGTATATAAACATTTCCCTCATTTTCCAGACTCAGGGTTGTTCCTGTGCGAGTAATTCCACTTTTGTTCACCAGTATGGAACACTTTATGTTAAGGGAAAATCCTCTGAATAGCGTTCTGAGAGGAAACGAAATGTGCGATCGTTGTAACGTCGCTGGAAAATCTTCATTGATTTGAATATTTTGTTCTCCTCTAATACTTCTGTAGAGTTTCTAACAGTATAATATATATATATATATATTTTTTTTTAAAGAATATCAATCCAACAAAAAATGATAGATCGCCCAGCGATCTTTAATTCCACTGAGAACAACTCTCCTTGCCCTCATTCTTTTTTGTACTAACTTCTTTAACCAAAGTACTCAATTTCCAAAGTACATTGTTTGCAATTAACATGTCACATTGAATCTCTCGTTTGGCGTTTCCTCTCGATCACGCTCACTTCTGGCTTTTCATTGAAGTGAAAAGAAATTCGCGCTCTCGTCGTACCGTAAAATACAATCAGATCCAAATCGCAGTTTTTATACTTATTCCAAATAAACACCACGGTATCCATATCAAAAATGCCACGTTTTGTAAGAAACAGGCGTGTTGAATGCCTGGCTGATGTTTCCGAATTCTTCGACGATCTCCACCATATATATATTTTTTTTTGCAGCTTGAACGTTGCTTCTGGTGACAGATAAATCGGTGGAGATGAAATACAAAGGAGACCCCGAGCAGCTTCATGAACGCCGACGCGTTTGCAAATTGGCGTCTTCGCCAATTCTTTAAGCGAGAAGCATTAAGAGATTAACATTGTTATCCTCTTCCTCGTTCACCGATTTCTTATTGTGCTCCAAATCTAGCAGGATTGAAGTCTTTATTGACAAACGAGAAGCCTCGGAATTCCGCTTGATTGATACAGCTCACTTCAGCTGGATCCTCAGGTGTCAATACCGGCTCCTCTTTTGTAAATTCTGTGTCGAAGTTCATGGTATCTTTCTCACTTTTCTGGAAAAAACATAATACGATTACTGAATAACGAGCGACGGCATATAAATAAAATATTAAAGTGTCTTCATAGCATAGAGACTCGCACAAATCTATTTTTTGAGCGACAGAATAGGTCTTAATTGGTTTAAAATAATTTTAAATGAGAAAAAAATCTTACAATTTTTGGTCTGATAGGTGGTTTCACTTTTCGCGCCTCGAGCGCATCCCAATCGATCGATTGAAAAAATGGATGAGCCTTTATAGCCTCCTCACAACCATGGGCTACGACGCAACCTAACCTTTCGGCGGGATTTTTCGTCGTGAATCCTACTAAGATCGACACTGCCTCCTCCGAGATCCATTTCGGATACACTATATCATCCCCCAAAATAGAATCAAACAGATCGTCCTCGTTCTCCGCTTCGAAGGGTGGCTGACCCACCATCATTTCGTACATTAACACGCCAAGTGCCCACCAATCAACGCTCGCGCCGTACGGTAATTCTTGAAGAATCTCCGGTGCGATATAATCAGGAGTGCCGCAAAATGTTGTTGTAGTTGTGTTTCCTTCGACGATGCCCTCTTTGCACATTCCAAAATCGGCCAATTTACAATGACCCTCTTGGTCAAGCAATATATTGTCTAATTTTAGATCTCTGTAAATAACGTGATGCTTATGAAGAAACTGCAATGCGAGTGTGACTTCCGCTGCGTAGAAGCGTGCTCTCGCTTCGTCGAATTTTCGAGCTTTTTGTATGTGGAACATTAAATCGCCTGAAACCAAAAGAAACCGGTTACAAAAAAAAAAAACTTGCGATTAATTATATGTTAAGGAAAGTATAAAACGCTTTCAGACAGAAACCGTACCTCCATTCACGAATTCCATGACAAAAAATAACCGATCGCTTGTCTGGAAACAACTGTGGATAGCTGTGAGGAATGGATGTTTCGCTGCTAGTGTTAGGATACGCTTTTCCGTCATCGTACAATCCACATCATCGTCTTGTATGATTACATTCTTCCGTAGAATTTTCACAGCGTAAACTTCGTCTGGATTAGATTTCCGTTCAACTAACATCACTTTCCCGAAGCTACCTTTACCAAGAACCTTGATGAAATTGAAACCTTCGATACCGAGCTTTCGAACTTGATTTTTACTGGCAGATACTGCGTTTTCAGTGGCAATAATCGGTGTTTCTTCCACCTTTTTAACTAATTGCGAATGATCCGTTGGCAACGAGTCTGTGACAGGAACGGTTGTCGGTGTGTGGCTAGCCTGAGAAGTTGCTGTTGTATAATTAATCTTTGGAGTTTTGATCTGTTTGTCGGGAGATATCTTCATTTCATTTAGGATGTCTGCCATAGCCTTTGTGTCTATACCACAGTTATTTGCTACATTTTTCTGGCACCTTTTGTGGACGTTTATATGACAAGCTGTGATGGACAAAGGAATTTCAAATGAGTTTGATATAATAGACAACGTCTTTCGGCATAAAACATTCACGTTCATAATACTTTACCTTCGCATTGTAAGCCTTGTCTAAATAAACCATACAAAAGGGAGCCACAGTGGTCGCAAAACGTAAATCTCTTGTAATTGTGAACAACAAAACGGTGTGGCATGTATATGCTGAAGCGCGAACATCCTGTGGTCTGTGTGACCGGATGAGTTGTCTGAAATTTAACAATAATATGAAGTTCATTTGAAAGATATCAAAGTGTTATTCATACGAAAAAGAATTATATTTACCTCGTCTCTCATGCCTGGGCATTTTGTAATAACCGAATCGTGACATCTTTTGTGAACTACACATGTGCAGACTGAAACACAATAATGCATAATTTAATGCTTGCACCATTCTTATGTCACTGACATTGAGCATAGCATGACCAAAGCTGGCTGCATGCGTGATTAGACGCATTGGTTTCAAATGACAGGCATAAATAAAATTTGGTGGATGTTGTGATAGTCTTGCCACAGGAACAGTACAAGCCTGAACATTAAAGACAGAATATGATCTCTAAGGATGCGACAAACTGAAACCATTGAAATCTCTTTATGATTTGTTAGATTATACTTAAGAACATGCAATGAAATAATTATTCCCCTGATTGTTACTGTAGTAAATCAGGTCTGATATAATTTACAATGAAGTATTAACTGATGTATTACAACCATTAAGTTTCATTTTCAATGAATTGTTATAAAAAGCACAGCATTGAGTATAGAGCCATGGGCCAAATTAAACATTGAAAAGTTCAGTTATTGAATCCCCTTTTCAAGGAACTAAGTACACATACACACACCTAGTTAAACATATATTCACACAAAGACAGAGCAAGCAAATATATAATTATAATATCGGTTAATAACGTGTATGTGTCTTCTCACCTTGACACTGATAGCCCTGCTTGCCGAAGCCCCTGAAATACAACAGACAAAACACATCACATCATCTCCTTGTATACCCTCATGAAACACATACGTATGCCTTCTTGGACCTTAAACCATGACTAGACATTTCTGATAGCCTTTCAAGGAAGAATAACGAAAAAATGGCTACTCAATGTGTGTATTTGCTTTACTCGTTTGTGTTCTTAAATGTACCAACAATGTCTCTTGTACAAAATAACTACAAAACCATGTTAACGTGAAAATTATTTCACCAAGCAATACACTTATATGCGATCGTATAAATCAATGCATGCAGCCGATTTTTGGTCTCTCGATAAGACACCAAGTTTTATTATGTTTTTTACCTCGTTGTAGGAATGAATAAAAAACAGGAAGAATATTTGAGACTACAAATGGATGTAGCTAATGTAACTGTTAAATTTTTATGCCTGTGCTCCAATACTGTTACACCTTAGTAAATGAACTGGAAGTTATTCACTCATTATAATTATATGTTCATTATAACAATGCATCGAGGAGAATGAGTGTTTGAAGTATTGAAAATAATGGCTTGAAAAGCTGTGTTTTTCTTAATGGTACCAGAACAAATTATGAAAAACCATATTCCCAAACATGCAAATTCGACACTTTTAAAATTATTCAACATACCCATATCCTATATTAATTTGGTTGTGTACAAAATCATTGAGTACCTCATTCATACAATGATTTTCACTAAAATCAGCAATCAAAATTCCAAAAAATCCAATATACCTCAAAATATACACACCAAATTATATGCACAGCATTTTATACTATGGAATGACTTAAATTAGTAAATGCCTTGAGTTAAAGTTAAAGTATGCTCGTGAAATAGACCCTAAGCGAGTGTATTTAATACTAGCTGAAACACATACCATATGAAGTCACGGCAGTGAGAACAGAAAGTCGGTTGCCTCAGGAACGTAGCCATAAACTTGTGACCATTCACTTGATGGACTTTACGCCGCATTGCACCCCTTCTGCGATCGAATCCATGCAGTTCCTTGAACTCCCTCTTGGGTTCTTTCCTGGCAGTAATGTTCCCGCCATCTCTGCCACCGATTCTCTCTCCGTTACCTGTACCACAGCCACTTTGTTGATCTAAAATTTTATTATGGAAATATACTCTACATGCATTCAATCTAATTGTTACCAGTTCCTTACCTTGGTCGTTCCACTTTAGATCAATCCTAACTCTTAATCTCCCTTGAGGCTCCAAATCAACCTAAAATCAGTTTTGTTTCATGTTGATAATTTGTAATGGCTAATATGAGCTCACAAGAATCATGAAGTGTATAACTTCCCAGTATTATCATGCTTATCAACACAAGATAAACATACGTATTAATTTAAGAATGATATATTCTTCAAATATAAAACTATTATTGTTAAGTAATTTATATATGTTTCATTTACTTCCAACATCTTAAAAGAACCATAGATCTTGAACAATTGAATACTTTAAATCACTGTATCTTTCTTGAAGATCGTAACTATTGACACAATCTTATCAGTACCTTGAACAGTTCTAATGTCATAATAGAAAGAGACAGATAGATGACATGTTACGTTCCCATCGCATATTTCAACCATACATGTCATTGCATATAAACAAACGGTGCATAAACTGATAAACTTCAATTATAATTAACTTAGAGATGCAAGACTGTAAACATAGAAATATGTATAAAAAAAATAGGAATGAAAAATACAAAAACGGTCTATTTTAAAAATCAGTCGAAGTTGCAGAACATTATACTTATTGTCGGTCAAAAAGTATAGTGTGAACATAAAATTAGTTGTGAGAAAATGCAATAATGTTTCCTATAAGTGGCAACACCAGTACTCGCTTGTCAACGACTTATTTTACGATCACTCTCTATTATCCTGCTGACAAGCTCCTCGAAGGGTATGCTGCAATTTGCGACGAAGTAATCTGGCGGTATAGCCGCGTCGTGGAAGACAGTGAGTCCCAGCATCACCGCGTCCTGGACTTTGTGGGTGAAGGATTCATTCCAGACCGGGTCGAAAGTTTTGGGCTTGGTGGACGATCGATCGAGATGGTTTTCGTCGACGTCCAGCTGAACGTACGGGTCGAGTATAGGCTCATCCTGCCAGAACTTCCGTTGCTTGTCCGTGGCCCTTAGTCCGACTGCCTCGCAGATTTCAATCTTCACCGTTCCCGTGAACATCGTGTATCGGGGCACACGAGAGACGGTGTCGCCAAGAATGGGACGGCAGAGGACGGAGAAGCTAGTCGACGGGCTGTCACGCCTATCGACGAGCTGACACTTCGAAACCCGCGATCAGGTTATACGGAATTCGAGTCAATCTGCCCAATAGTCACGTTGAAATCGAACCACCGTACTGTCGGGTGGCCTCCACCTGGTTTCGATTGGAAGAATTCGTTCGGAAGGTTCGACACTTGAACGTTAAATTGATCCCCGAAGTAGTCCGAAATAATTTCACAGAGTGGAGATAATTCGCGCGGCAAATAACGCGACCTTCCGTGAAAATGTGTGGCGCACCGCTTCGAATATCCCCGTCCGACGAGCCTTCTTGCCTCTCTCTTACTCTTTCTCTCTATCTCTCTTCGCCTTCTTTCCCTGTTTGCTTTCTTTCTCTTACACACGCGTACACATTCTCTTTCTCTGTCCGGTCGTATGATCTTTCTCTCTATCTCTCCTCGAGTTTCTTCCCCTCATCTGTCACCAACTCCCTTTCCCTTCTTCACCGTCCACCAACACCATGCAATTATAAACACTCGGCTCTCTTCACAGATAACAGGCACAGAAACGGAAGCTGCTGAATTCGCGGCGGCGACGACGACGACGACAGCAACGGCGACGGTAACAACAGAAGCCCGTCGTCGGGACACGAACAAGACGGATGCGGGACGATGCTGCTTATTATTTCTAGGCGTCCCGTTCGCGAATGTAAGCCCTGTCCTTGTATTCCCGATCTCCTGAGAGCCATTAAGCTCCTCTTTTTTTTTTCCTCTCAATTCTCTATCCTTTGGTACTTTTTTAATGCTTTTATGTATATTATATACTGTTAACGGTCCGTCACTTGAGGGATTACAGCACGAGTTATGTACAACACCCGGAGAATTTTGTGTCTCGCGATTACGAGGACGACGTATCCGCCGATAAGCACTCGTTCACCGTCCCTTGGCAGCCCCCACCGACCCGAACCGCTCGATTGGTCACTCCGCGCTTCGTCTAAAGGGTGACTCGATCTCGGTCTCGGATCCCGTTCGGAATCTCTCGTGCGTTTTCGTCGAAAGCTCAGGCTGCGTTTCCACCTTGCCTCCGAACCCGATTGTTCGATGAATTTTAATAAATTCGAAAACATCTTGTCACTTTTTTACGGTGGAACTCGTTAATTTCAATCTGCTAAAAATTCGAATCGCGTTCTCTCGATTCACGAAATACACACTTCGTGTTTCCCCGCGTTTACGCGGCGAGCTTGCGGAACAAATCGAAACGCCAGGATGATGCGTAGTCATCTGATTGGCGGGCGTCTGGATAGAAAAAAAGCGCGCTTCTACTTACAGTTTTCGCTTCCAGAGGATTGCTAACGATTTATCGGTTATTTAGTGATTGAATTCGATTCACCATATATTGTCGCAACTTTGTGGAATCATTGATATTCTTTATTTTATTTATTGCGTTATCTATCATGCGATGTATGGCCTAGGATCGTTTCGCGCAGGACAAATTGGAGATCTGGATTTAGGTGGGAGAACGGGTCTCTCATTGGTGGAACGGTATTTCACAGTATGACTAAACGTACCGGGACGAATTTCCGCACGGAAATAACGTATCTCCGCGAATTAAGGAATTCCTCGTCTTTATTGAGCTATATAAATAAACGAACACAGTTATGAATCTAGTATTTACACCTGCGACACGATCAACGCAACGATATCCTCGCATTTACTCTCCCAGGACCAGGACATTTTTGCGTTGTTGTTGGTTCCGATACATACAGACGACGGCCGAGAAACCCGCGAGAAAATCCGATCGTTCTATAAATAAAGAACTACTTTCTCGGCGATCGACCGAATCCTTTTACGTTACCCTATCCCCCCCCCCCCAAAAAAAATATCACAAGTACGTACATCCTGTGCCGTGAATTCGACGGATTCCCGGAACATTCGGGACTCGAAACGTAACCGTCCCTTTGTTTTACGGAAGGAGGTATCGCTTGCGACCACCCATTCGGTCGACCGTCGATTCGAGAAAATCGCGATGTATCTCGTGTTCAAAGAATAAATATTTCATCGAAATAAGGAAAGTGGATTATACAGACGTTGACTTCGATTATGATCAGACTGCGGAAGTTCATCTATTTATAAGAAATGTTAAATGTAGAAAAGTCGATGGAATAAAAATCTATTATGGTTTAAAAGCTGTCCTTAATAGAGGAAATAAACTTTCTGTTGGATTCTCGTTTTCACTGGATAAAAACAATAATGAATCCAGCATGGACATCCGCAGTCTAATAATGACTATATTTGAGTACGAGATAAGAACGATCTCCGCTCGACGATTCTGCGGCGAATCGTTCTTATGCACCGACCACGTCACACGTGGACGTGCTCTCTTGCAGCATAGCGGTCTCGTTTTTTTTCTTCTCCTCCTGTTCCACCCCCGATATCACATAGACTGGTTGCTGGTACGCAAGGAAATGCTGGTCTGTCGCTAACGCTTTCGTCGAATCCCTCATTTTCATCTGAAATAAAACGAGGCGTTCAATATTTTTGTTCCTTGATGCGCCATTAATTACACCGGAGACTTCATGGACGAATTAGAAAACCAACGGCCAATTTAATTATGTCGAAATATTCTTCGTCTTAACTTTGAAATTAAGAACCGCGAAGAACAAGGAAAGCCGCGATAAATTTTTGTACAGGTTGCCAGTCTGCAACTAATTTGTCCTTAAAGTTCCGCTCGATTATCGTGAAGTAAAAAATGCATACTTTCTTGCGGTACAACATCAATAGAATCAGCAGGCTGCTGATTATGAACGCGCTTCCCGCCGCTAACACCAGAGTGGCCGTCTGATAAACGGGCGTGTCCACTTCCGTCAGGATTTCCCGTTGTTCCAATGCGACAATTCGGCTCTGCATCGCGATCGGTGTCGCTCGATGCGTGAACCGGGACGTGGTCGCGTCCGCGAACGATCCAAGCATGGTTAACTTTTGAATTCTGGTCAATTCCTCCAAGTGGAAAGCTACGTCGACTTTATTCGGGCCGATAATCTCGAAACTAAGTATAGCCGAGTCCTGATTGATCTCTACTCGTACGTCGTTACGCAATCTGGCTCCTAAATCACGGAGAAGCTCTTCGGCTTGTCCGATGAACGCGGTGTCATCATTCGCGAGGAATCGTCCGGGGAATCGTAGGGTCACCTCGACAGCTTCCACCGGTGTAGGTACTACGGAAGAAGAAAATCTACGTGAGTACAGGTGCATCGGTTCATCGCGAGGCGTCGTAACACCCGTTCAAGCACCCCCTTACAGCAGATATTGGTTCCCTGAAGGAATGGCTCGGTACCGACTAGCTGATTGCCGGCCTCGTCGACGCACCAACACGTGTCCCCGGCGCATTGGGTCGGCTCGAACCTACCCTGACGGTCGCAGATCGCTGGAACGTGGCCTTTGTCTCTCATCGCCTGGCACCTGGTACCCAACACCTTACCGATCTGCCTCTCGTCCGTCTCCAAGTTTATCAAAGCATTCTCCATAAACGCCTGGATTTCACGGTCGATTTCTTGAACCGCCGACCCCCTACCGCCGCCTCTTCTCGCCTGCCTGAAGTTACACTTGGGCTCCGGTCCTCTGGTAAGCGAACCCTTCACAGGTTGACCCTTCCTATTGACGCACCAGCAGACACCAACGTGCTCTAAACACTGTACCGGCTCCCACATCCCCGTGTCCGGATCGCATCTCGGCAGAAATGTCGGTTGCTTAAGCCTTTGTGACGTTTTTAAATTTTTTTCTCGAAGCCTCTCGCACTGGGACAACACCGGACAGACGGTGTCGCAGACCAGACGGCTGGAGAAATCGTTGTGACCCAGAGAACAGTCGGTCTTCTTTCGACATTCGTTCCGTTCCGAATCGAAGTACCACCTGTCGGTCTCGTTGAGGCCTAACCCCGAATTGCAGGGCATTCTTCGCGGCGGTTCGAAGCAGACTTCTCGAGGTTTCGGACAGCATACAGCGTATTCGTCCAACGGTGACAATTCGCACTTGTGCGTCGACGGGCAATGATGCCCGTGTGGTCCACAGATCGCTGGGGATCCGTCTTGGTTCAACAACGGCGCGCCGTTCGGGCATGGATTGTCTTTTTTCGGCAGGCATACCGGTACAGGAGGGCAGGGCGGCACGCTACAGGCTACCTCCACCATCCTACACGCTTCGTTCTCCCCTCTACAGGTCACTCTCTTGCACGGATCTCTGCAGGAACACGTTGGGCATCCACTATCGGGGTCCAGTTCGAATCCCTCCGAGCAATCCAGCTTACAATCGATCTCCGGACACCTAAGCGGCGTGTTGCATTTAGGTAGTATGCCTTCAAGAACGCGGGTACCAGCAGCCTCTCTGCCTTCTTCGTCAACGCACCAGCACATCCCGTTGTGACATTGAACCGATTCAAATGCCCCACCCGCGTCGCATCTGGGAATGTAGATCCTTCTGGCCGGTTCCCCAGACTCACGGGCCGCGTGCTCCGCCACGGCTCGCGCGTGTTGACAAGCTGTGGCCATTACAGGGGCCACGCACTGTGTCCCGCAACCTGTCGAGCAACACTTCTCTGACGCCGAGCATTCTTGGTCGTTGCTGCACTGTAGTTCACAGCTAGACGAACTAGGCACCAGATACGGGCACTGGCCGGGTTTCATGGCCAGACAGGCGGGTACCGGCGGACAGTATTGCCCGGAACCGCAGTTCACCTCCACCATTGTGCAGGTCTCGTGAGGACCACAAGACACGTCCTTGCAAGGATCGTGGCAACGACATTGCTCGCAACCGGTCGCGTCCACTGCGTACCCGTATGGGCACACAATATCGCAGGATAAAGATCCGCAGAGCTTCAGGAGATCTTTCATCTCTTTGCAATCGGTGCTACGGTTAACGTCGGCCTTTAATGTCACCCCGCGATCGTTCACGCATGAACAGGTGCCGTTGTGACACTGTAACGGCTTGTAACTGCCGTCATTCTCGCATTGCGGGGCTGGAATTGCCAAAGACATATCCTCCCTCGTGCCCTCCATACGATCGTTGAACTCACGTAGGTACTCGCACACTGAAACCAAGCGGTACTCTTTTATAGAACATACATTTTCAAGGTTACGCACAGATGTTATCGAATATCCATGTACTAATTGTAAATCGTTCAGTCTTACTGGTTTGCATCTTGGTCGAGTTCGCCGACGCCATGCAGCACACTGACTGGCCAGCTTCCGGTACGGTAGTGCACTTGTAACCCTGTGGGCAAGTATCATTCGCGGAACAGTTGACTGTCATCCGTTCGTCGTCTATCAATGGATTTTCGTAAGTGCACGGGCTCTTGTGAGTCTCCTTATGCTTGCATTCTGGTTTCATCGGACAGAGGAAGTCCGGGCAACCGTCTTCCTTGCTCAATACGCATTCCTCCTTCTCCGGGCAGGGAAATCTAAAAGAAAGGGGATGGTTCAGGAGACGAAGAAACGATTCAAGGTATTTTATTCGAATAATCGTAACTATAGAATTTACCCCTCGCAAGGATTATCGCATTCGCATGTGGAACACCCGGAAGCGTCGGTCTTGAAACCGTACTGGCAAATTTGGGCGCACTGCGGGATGGTGCAGGCGGCCGGAAGGGATCTTCCCTTCGTTAACGACATGCAGTCGACCTTACCGGCCGGTCCCATGGAACCGGATATCTTTCTGCCGTTGTTATCCACGCACCAGCAGACCAAACCGTTCCTCGAGCACTGTTTCGGATCGTAGCTTCCTTCTAAAATATCGAACGTCTCCATGAATAAATTCACATTTTCTTTAGTTCCTTCGGAGATAACACAACACAACCTATATGTACATATGTTATACCACAGACGAGATATAGGAGTAGACATTTCAATAAATGTTTTCTTTCGGCCCACTTTTCTCTGGCGACGTCACCCCATTTCCATTTCACTACCCCCCGCAGATTCACCGTTCTCATAACGTAGAGGTCGCTAAAATCACAGGCTTTTTAAGGTGTCGATACTAGAGTTTAGGTGGGCCACCAAATCCCATAAGCTGAAAGGTCTATTCTAATACCTCTTCGGTGGCTGTACATATATATTTACACCGCCTCAATCATTAAATTATCGATTTGTCATTGTATCGAATAAACGACTTTACCGTCAGTGCATTGGGGGACGTATCCACGTCCCTGTCTCTCCGTGATGCTCAGCATCTCCGCCAGTACGCGGTCCCTGTGGCACGCGCTCAAACCCTCCGGAACTGTGCACACAGCGCCGCCGCAACGTTCGCTACTGCAACACTTCTGGGGTCCGGGACATTCCAGATCGTGACGACAGGAATTCTCGCAGATCATCGGCTCCGTGTCGAGCGAACACGTGCCAGGTCGTTCCAGATTTATGTCGGACGGGCAACAGACACCGTACTCCTGTTTCGGCTCCACCAGACAGCTGTACATCGGCGGGCAGGTCGGTTTACCAGGCGAGTCGCCGCACAGAAACGGCCGTGGCGAGTCGGTAATTTGCAACGGTTCGCCCGCCGGACAGATCGTCGATAGGGATTTCGCCTTGCGACAGCTGGGAATCGGGGGACACGGCGGACGGGCGCACGTTACGTCGATCAACTCGCACGTCTGTCCTGTCCCGGGACAGGCGATCCCGCGACAAGGATCACGGCACTCGCATTTCGAGCAGCCTGTTCGTCGCTCGATCTGTTAATGGAAATCGTCGTCGATTAGAATTGGAGGAGGAGAAGGTGGAGCAGCTTAATTTTCGGAGGAACTTATTTCTCGATGGGAGAAACATAGTGATCTACGAGCACTACCACTTCTTGTTCACATTTTTTTTTTTTTGAGAATAAGTAGAGGATCTCCGATATCCTTTTGTACGACATGTATACAGAGTGTTCCACCTAACGTGAGCACCTTCAGCACCTCACTTGTTTTTGAAGATGCAAAAAAATGCGAGAGAAGAGTATTATTTGGTTAAAAGGAACAAATACTATAAGGAAAAATGTTTCTGAGTCAATTTTTCGAAATTACAAGGTCATCGATTTTTTTTTGTAATGGGACTACATATATATATATATATATATATATAACATAAATTTATAATAGTGTGACCTTCGCGTGACCTTGAGTACGAAAAATCCACATATCTATGAGAGTAGATTTAAATAATAAAATAACTACAGTAGGGGGATTAGTGAGCATTTATTAAAATGAATTTCCTGCAAATCAAAAGCAAGTGAAACACTAATGATGTTCACGTTAGGTGGGACAGCCTGTATATAGTCGACTGTTTACCTCAAAACCCAAAGGACACAGCATTCGACAGCTGTGCGCGGGACACTGTCGCGGATGGTCGCAGTCGATGACGTCTTTGGACGGTCCTCTGGTCCCGGGCAGCTCCACACCGATCTCGTTCACGCACCAACAGCTGCTCTCCCGCGGATCGCATTGTATCCTCTCAAACTCGCCGGTCACGTTGTCGCATCTCGGTATAAACTGCGTAGGTCCGCGTGGGCCGAGCGCGCGGGACCTCCTCACCGCAGCCTGCGCCAGCTGTTCGCATCCTGTCAGCTCGCCGACGACACATCGTAGACCGCAAGCAGTCTTGCAACAACGCTCCCCGAACGACTGACACTGGTAGTCCGTTTTGCAGGCCGGAGACCTTGACGGACATATGTTCTGCTCTTCGAAGGATGGGCATCGACCGAGGGACTTCTGTATTGGCTCTGGAACGGGAGAGGTAAGTTTCGGTTGCTCGCGAATACAAACGGAGATTAGGGAAAGGGCCTCCTACCATTTGGTATTTGGAATTACTGAAATGTATGTCAAATTAATATTCGATTTAACGTCGAGACCAAATGTCTCTGAATTATCCCATTCACTGGTTACTGGTGTCGAATTTTTTGTCCGAACTTACGGTTAGTCGAACCGTTTCTCACACGCGGCATGATGACATCAGATGCCCCGCCACGAATGGTACAAAAGCGCCCCCAACGGGACTTCATTCGCAGCCAATCGAATCGGGGAAATTTCCTGGGACCAACCGATCGACTCGAATCAACTTTATAGGTCAGGTTCGATACGGGACGATCTCTCGCCGCTTTCGTTCTCGAGCCATGGCCAAAGTGTAGCGTAACGATGATCATAAATATAGCCGGAGTCGGGAGCTAACGGTTCTTCGCATCCTACTGCCACACTTTACTCTACACTTAACCGACGCTCCCGCGAGCAACGTCTCCTGGCCATTTCCAGCACGAGTGGCCCGTAACTCAGACGACACTTGGATGCTTGCTTGTAGGTGGACGAAGAAGTCGAACGGAACAAAAGAAATGGACACGCGTCGTTAATACTCGAGAACGATCGATTGGCATCGAGCGTGACTACTTCGCACGAGAATTTTTTCTCTGGTGATCGCGAAAGATGTTCTAGAGCAGTGTTTCTCAACCATTTTATCTCACAGCACAGTTGAACCTATAGTTAAACTTCCAACAATGATATACTCGTATAATCAATTTAAAGAGGTTTTCATTTTTGATATGTACACTTATTGTGCTTTGGACTTATTTGCAGAATAATTTAATTAATGATCTTTCAACATTTTCGAGGTACACCTACTTGTAAGATCCTCTCACGGTACACCGGTTAAAAATCACTGTTCTAGAGGTTAGGTAATTCAATGTCGATTTAAAAACACGGAAATAAGCAGTCTGACGAATTTGAACGTTACGTCCAGATGTTTAAACGGTTATGCACTGCTATTTATATTAGATCATCCGTAACGAGTATTGATTGATTTTCTGCAGATAATGCGAGTCACAGGTTTTGTGGGCACAGTAAATAATCCTGCCAATGTATACGTATTCAATTTCGATGTAACACACATAATTGTCATTTACAACCAAATTTGACACGATCAATTGCGTTTTATTGTTTTCGAATAAAATTAAAGTGGAAGACAGTGAATTACATACAATGGAAATTGTTATCAATCGAACCTTTTACAGGGAAACCTATATCGAAACTTTTCCGATCGTCCAATACGTTCGAACGAATACGTGTTTCTGGAACTCTGAGCCAAGGTTCATCTCAATTGACTTTACGATCAATTAACCACTGCATTCCGCGAGGTTTATATTTGTCCTCTTGTCACCAGAAAACACCCCCAGTTATTTGTCTTTATTTTTGAGTTTTTGTCGCATCAACTACAAGGTTATTAGCGTATTGACGCGTGTGCTTTACCGAAATAAATGTTCCGGTCGGTCGGAGAACACGAAATTACCGTCGACGAAAGTAATTTCCATTGGGTTAACAGAATTTCGTACAATACAAACGAGAAGAGCACGGATCACATAAAATACATACGAACGGTTATATCATGGGGAAAGTGCAGGTGAATAGAGGCGGTCGGATGGCGTGAGTAATCACGCGGGAGCATGTCAATCGATTTTTTACTTTAACTCTGTACATCGCGTCGTTAAGAACTTCATAAAAGTCGAGTGAAACCACCGAGCACATCCGATTACACGAATTTCCAGTTCGTCGACCACCGTTTCCCCCCTTCTTTTTCCCGTCTTTCCCGCCGCGATCTTGCCAGCGAACTCACGTTAATCTACTTGGCGAGTTTCGCCGTTACGACATCTACACGCGATCGAATTCCGCCAGGCGCGATAAAGCCTTCGGATTCGTCGAACCAACAATTAATTAGGACCGATTCGATGGTTTCGTTCTCATTTCCGCGGTAATTATTTGTCTGATGCAAGTTCCCTGACACGATATTACGGATAGACAAGGCTATACAGACAGATCCAAAAGTGATATGTATTTTATGAACGCTATCCCGATATTAACCATAGGGGTATGAATCGTAGAAGTCGATGATTAGGTCGATCGTGGTCCGTAGCGACATCTCGAAATATTCTTGTCATCGTCGTGTAAACCTGCCACAGATTACCGACCGGTTGTCAGTGACCCGGCCATAGGGACATGAGGGTTAACCTCTGTATTAAGTTCTTAATTAACCTCTACTGATCGTTATACCTGTCATGGGAAGGTTGGTAGAAAAATTCGAGTGTTTCTAATATTCCTATACACCTTATTTGACTTGATATTCATAAGGTAAAATGCATTTCTGTGCACGGGATTGTTGGTTTCGAGAGCACCTAAAGTTTCACCAGTGTACAATGTTTTCGTTAACATTCGATATTCCATTCAAATTTTCTTTCTAATTCACTCGATCCAAATTAACATTGAAATCATGAGTACATTTCGTAATTCGTACCTTCTGTTCCTTTTCTTTTCAGATTTCATTTACGATACCTGCCCTAACAACTCAATGTCGGTAAACGTGTTAACACTTCGTGTCTTACAATTAAGAACTGACAGAATACAGAAGTACTGTATCGTAAGTACATGATCGGATTTATAAGAACTGATAGTCTAGCTGGGGCTGTCCACGCAAAGTGTCCCCTGATATTTAGTGAAATGGTCTGCAGTCCCGGTGTAACGTATCGAGAAGACGGGGATTGAACCGCCCATGCATTCATGATCGGCAATTTAACCCCGTGATTAACGTCTCGTTAAGTACGTCATTTATCCGGCTGCAGGACGTGGGCTCCCGGCTGTATAATCCCCGGCAAATAATTAACTCATTGATTAGAGACGCCGTCGTGTCTCGTGGGCATCGATAATGTACCCCGACGCGTTCACCTGCTCGAATCCACGATGATTTAATGCTCGTTGCGGACGAGCAATTAATGAAGCCGGCTCCCCGCGGCCGATTCGGTATGCTCAATATCTCTAGTCGAACGCAAAATATCGGTAGCTATCGATTTTCGTTGATTCCTAAAAGTACATAGAGGTTTATCCTAAAAGTTGGGTTATGTTATTAATACAACCCACGATTATTAATTCCGACTGAGATACCATCTACTGCTCGAAAATTCACGTGGTTGATCGTTCAGAGGGGGGATCGAAAAGGAGGAGGAAGTTCATGCTAATGGTCCCACGGGAGGGTTGGCTTTTTCGTCGTTGGTTGTCGCGGCGCCAAGGACGAATCCGTCTGCAGAACAATTTCCGAAATCCGATCACGTTCGCGCGCGGCGTCGCATTATATGCAGATGCACGACCGTTTCGAGAGAGCTCGCTTTCCTTTTTCTACTTTTTGTCTTCCTCCCCTCTTCGTCTCGTCGATCCTTCGAACGTGAACACACAGGCGAGCTCCATTGTTTGCTAATGGCCGCTCTTTCAATATAATTCGGGACCAATCATTGCGGGCGATCGAGCCACGAAGAAAGGGAGGGGGAACACGGCGAGGATATCCCGTCGAAAAATAAAATAACGGAAGTCGAACAAAAAAAACAAAAAAAAAAAGGAATAAAGGGAAAACGTACCTGCTATGACCGACGCAGTGAGGGACAGTAGCAGCCAGGTCGATGACACCCACACAACGGCGCAGGCAAGCCCACCGTTGCAGAAATCACGGCGCATCCTCAGCGCATCAAGTGATTTTTTAAACGGCCGGGTAGATCTGCAATTATTCGGAAGTAATCTCGAGTTATTCGACCATCGAATTTATGATTCTTTAAATTATGGATCCCAAGAGGAGGGATTTGGAATTATGCATAATTTCAGGGAATTAACTGTCGGCCAATTTGATAGGAAATTGGATTTTTGAAGTGTCATTGTGTTTATAGGTTAAAATTCATTTCGAAGGAAGCGACAGAGTGATACCGCTAAATGCTTCCTGGTCAATTATAGGATTCATTATGCAGTCACTTTCCACAATATTATAACAATTTAGATGTTCTGCAATATTCTACAAAATTATAGAATTACAATATTATACGTGTTCTACGAGGCCAGTGACGATCTCGACACGTTTTAAGGCGGGAAATTATTCGATGAAGCGATCGCATTCGCGGCTTTTCGTTTGGTGTTCACTTTTTTTTTTGTTAGTATTTGCTAATGGTTTACTAACGAATTTATCAAAATGGTGGAAACAGGAGGGATGATGGCAATGGAAATACGCCCTAAGGCGACGCACAACGAGAGAGAATCCATCGTCTGCTATATTAATCGCTTCATTCTGTACACAATTGTCGGATACCACGGGAAATCGAGCCATCAGTCGGCTCGGTATAAATTACTCCGTAGCAGAAATTCGATATTTCTTGGTTGTAACGACGGTGTAACGGCCGTGAATGCGGATTCGTAACGTGATAATCGATGTAATTACCATTTAGGCCCGAACGACCGAGCCGGTCCGCGTGTTACAGTCTTTCCGAGGATGCATTATTCATACGGCGGGCTGCACCCTAAATTCAAAGGCTTCCCAAAGGATGTAACCGTCGGTAATTTCGCCGGCGAACAGCTTCGCCCGTCCCCGGCCCTTGTACGAATATCAGAGTGTAACGTAATATACAGGGTGAGCCAATACGAAATACTATTTAAAATAACTGGTTATTGTATCAGAAAACCGTTTGAATAAGTTATGTAGCATCTCAATGACGCATCGGATAGATACAACTTGATTTCTTTCTATCTTATTTTTGATTTAGATATCAAGGTGACCTTGAGTTTCTTCAAGGTCAGTGCATCTTTGTTGTTAATACCATGTTGTTGTCGATAAAAGGACGAATTCAGCGACCTATAACATGATGGTATTAAATTAAAAAGACGCATTGAAATTCTTTCATGGAAACTGGGGTCTGTAAGAAAGAAGATGGCGGCCATATTGGATTTCGTAGACACTGGTGACTAGACCACTGACGTGTCACGCGAATGCATAGTTTTGTAAAGTAATTTATAAAAACGAAAACGATACAGAATTTTATTTATTCTGATAAATGTTTTGCCACGTTAAACATTAGGTTGTACACTGACGATAAGTCTCTGTAGACCTTTTTAACTGTATACTGTCACATACTGAAAGTAACTGAAACCATACGAATTCAGCCACAGAGTTCGCCTGGCTGAGTTTCGTTTTGAACATTTCGGTTATATTGTGAATTCTCGTCATTCGTGTTTCTTCCTCGCTTTCTGACACCCTGTATAACGCGTGCACGCGAGTACACCAATTTCCTTGCGCCCCATCGTTCACGTGTCTCGCATTATGCTACGCGAACGAAACAATCGTCGCGCGTAATATTTGCCATAAAAGGGGTTGCAGAGGCTCCCGCATCGAACGTGGCGCAACCGCCCCCTCCCATCGTGTTCGAATTGAATTTCCATGGAAAATTTTTAATCCTCCGTGCCTTTATTAAATAGAGTCGCCCCTGGCGACTTCGAAGATTAAAGCAAAACAGCCACCGCCATCGTGGATACGCTCGAGTTCAGAAATGGTCTGACAACAAAAGAACAGTTTCTATGAAAAGATCGATTATCCGTTGATTCTGATCTTATAGAAAGCGGAACCGTAAATGAATATTTAACTTTTCGAAAATAAATTAGCAACAGTATTCACTTTTTTTAATTCTTCGAACAATATACTTGACTGATCCCTCCGGTTAATAACCTATTTCCTAAAGGATAATATTCACCGGAACCTCGAGGCGAAGTTTTCTCAAGTATAATCAAGATCTTAACTTCGCTGGGTTTTTAAGTAACGACATTAACTTGAATCTTCGGAGTTTAAATGAACGTAATGGGGCTGGTCGATTTTGATGTTCTATCCGTCGGTGTACCCGTAATATACCATAAACACCACTCTGTCCACAGTGTCTATGCTTGCTACAAGTAGAAATGGAAGTGATAGTCAGACAGATTTGTCAGTGATATGCGAAAGTTTCGGTCTGGTTCCGCGCCCCCCCTCCTCCTCCTCCCCAACACTCATTGTAGAGGAGCCTTTGAACACTCATCGATGATGTACTATATATGAATACTGTAACATTCGAACGTTCTATTATCCAAACCTTGTGCTATCCAAATGTTCCATTATCCGTACGTTCTGCTATCCGAATGTTCTATTATCCTTACGTTCCATTATCCCAACCTTGATCTTCTCAAAACCGAAACTCCACACGAAAAAAATGTTATTTCTTCACGATTCATTTCGTTTCTGTACACAGAATATACATACTACCACTAGTTTCTTTCGAAAACTAAAACAAAAAAAGGAGCTACTCGCAACCAACGGAGTTGGCCAACTGTTTTGCTTCTTTTTACCCGGACAGAGTCCCGATGAAAAGTACACGCGAAAACGAAGAGAGAAAAGACGGTAAAACGAGAAGAAAACGACTCCCGTCGATGTTGTAACGAGGAACAAAGGGGGGAAAAGAAAAGAAAAACGCAAAAGCGTCCCCGGCAATTCATGGATCCCAGACTTCGTCTCATGAATAACGGAGAGAAAGAGGGGCGCGGACATTAGAATATTCCCCGCGGCATAACGAATAAGAAGACACAACTTCCCATTGTTATTCCTCTCCTTTTAAATCGGAGAAAATAGAGGGTGGACCACGAAACGTGATCAGCTTAGATTATTCTACTGCTAGAATCGAACATTTTTTTCGGCTAATACAACACGATTCAAGAAGAGCTTTAAGACGATTGCACCAAATTAGTTGTCAGCCCTTTCTTCAGAGTCTTCAAGATCACCTTCAGGTTTTTTTAATACATAAATCTATAATTCTTTTACGCCCACCCTTTCAGCGGACACTGAGACAAATTCGGCAAGCATCGTAAAAAATAATTTGTTTTTCTTCTAAATCCAAGAAACAGTAAGAAAGTATCATTTACCTTAATTAAAACTATCGTCAAAATGGTGTCCGTCAGCTGCAATACACTTCGCGTGAACCGTTTAGAAACAACATCCAAAAAAATGTGGACTCACACTTTTTACACTTTTTTACACTTTTTCAGTGTGAATGACGTGGAATTAAAACGGATTATGCATTACTATACGTCCACCCGGTAGAAGTGTGACACAACCGATTCACCGATAAAACGTAGGCACCCGAGACGATCTTGAATTGCAAAATTAACTTGGCGCATTTATTTCGCGTTCTCCCACTTCCGGACCAATTAGTCGAATTACTTCGCTTTTTCTCCCACCCGTTATTCTTGGTCTCTGTAAGGACGCTTCTTTCGGTCGCGTTATTGCGCGTTAAATTGCCGATTTTTTTCTTTTACTGAAAATTATGCACAGGGTGATTCATACATATGCATATTGATACTTGAGGTAATAGGGTAAGGGGTTTCAATTTCGTCACCCCCCCGCCCCCAAGGTTTTTTGGTTCTTCTTCGAAAACTTATACTACATTATAAGTTTCTTTTTTATTACTTATTCTTTACTCCCCGAGTCTCTTTTAGGCATAGATCATATAACACATTGTTACCTACAATTGAATTATAACTGGATTCTATACTAAAGGGTTATATACCAGTATATCAATAAATAAATAAATAAATTACTACGTATGGTATTTATGAACGTTGGTGTATCTACATTTCTCCACGTCAACGGTTCAGTCGCGTGTCTTCCAGGAGATAAACGTTTCTTTCCTCCACGGACGCCTCGGACAGAGGATCATCCCGATAGAAGATTGTCGTCTGCTCTCTCTTTCTCAAGGCTAACGTGTGAACGATGTGGGTCACACTGTTCGTCATCGGAGTTCCTTCCGGGTCGAGAGCGCAACCGCCCTTGCCTCTTCATGCCGTTGACTTTCTATTGTCGTGGCCGATGCTTCACGTATGTACTTATTACATATACATATACATATATACAAGACGACGTGTATCGAGTGCGTCATCGACGGAACACTTTTGTGGAGAGAGGCGGCCTCTTCAAACGTGTAACCCAGGGATATCGTCATCGGCCCCCGGGTGGGGTCATTGACCAACTCGGGACGTTCGAATACCACTATCGAATTTGGTAGTTACGAAAAAAAAAAAAAAAAAATAAAAAAAAAACGGAGGGAGATGGAGAACAAAAAACAGATTGTATCCCGTTTATTACATCCTCGTTCGATATGTGGCTCAGTGGTACACAAACCGTGGGCCTCGTGAAAATAGAAAGTGCCGGGGCCTCCGCCTCTGACGACCAATCCGAAACGAGCAGAATCATCGACTTCTTCGTTCGGGAAAAAGAATGAGATATTCATATGTATTTCATGTTTGAGAAATTCCGTAATTATTGACGGCGAAGACACGAGAGCTTGCGATCGAAATATGGGGCTCAGATGAAGGGTATTGAGTGGTATTTTCAGAGAAACTATCGCGTCACTTGTCTTTCTGTTTTTTTTTTTACATGGAAACGCTCCCGAATTCTGTAAGACTCCTTGTCCAGGTCAGTCTATGCATACTAGAGGGAATGAAGTTTCATGCTAAGAAGAGCTCTCATCAGGTATTTCAGTCCAATATAATTTGCCCAGAATTCTCCAGAGTGCTGTTTTCACATGGAAACGATCCCAAATTCCGTAAGGCTCCTTGTCCAGGTCAGGCTATGCATAGAAGATGGAATGAAGTGTCATGTTAGGAGAAGCTCTCATCAGGACTTTCAGTGCAATATAATTTTCGCAGAATTCTCCAGAG